ATTATCATGATAATTCTTATCGGTTTTATCATTATCATTATTAGTTTTTTTTTTAAACATTTTCGTCAATCATATCATCATTTTTCAGAATTTCATTTGTGATTTTATGAACATTCTCTAATTTCCAGTAAACAGTTTTCCAATTATACTCCGATTAAGTATGTTAATGGCAAACAATAATTAAGCATTCCATTCTTTCTTTCTCATTATCTTCAACCATTTCTTTCATTTTCTTTTCCTTTTTTTACACGAAAAAGAAAAATTAGAGACGCTATTTATACTGACTGTTAGAGCGCTAAAAGGTAGAAATTCGAAAATTTGGACCATGACATCAGGGTGGGAGGGAGGGGGTGGGGGAGTGAGAGGGAGGAGGGGGGTAGAGGTGAGAGGATGGCGGAGGGGAGGATGGAGAAGGAGAGGAGGGGGAGGGAGGGGAGGGAAGGAGGGCGGGAGGGAGGGAGGGGGGGGAGGATGGGAGGAGGGGAGGAGAGAGGAGAGCGGGAGGAGGGGAGGGGAGAGGAGGATGGGAGGGAGGGGAGGACAGAGGTGGGAGGGAGGGAGTGGGGTAAAAAGGGGAGGAGGTCAGAGGGAGGGGGAGGGGAGAGAAGGTGGGAGGGAAAGGGGAAGATGGGAAATGAGAGCGAGAGGAGAGGGGAGAAGAAGGGCGGAAGAATGCAAGGGGGAGGCAGAGGGAAGAGGAGGACGGGAGAACGACAAGGGAGAAGAGAGTATAGAGGTAAGAAAAGGAGGAGAACTCAGGAGAAGAAGGAGGGGGGAGGGGATAGCGGGGGGGGGGGAATGGAGAGAGAGTAACACGATGACGGGGAAAGGGAGATGGGGGAGGGGGGAGGAAGAAAGGGGGCAGAGGAGCCAGACAGATTAATCCAACATTGTTCGCAGACTAAACACAGATTCAAATGCGTTCGCCAAACAAGAAAATGAATTTATCCGAACGAGGCTCTCTTTTTTTTTTACTTTTTTTTGTGTACAACTAACACAACCGCTTGAGTCCGTCTTGTTTCTGGGAAAGAGAGAGAAAGAAAGTGAGTGAAGAGAAGAGAAGAGAGAGAGAGAGAGAGAGAGAGAGAGAGAGAGAGAAGAGAGAGAGAGAGAGAGAGAGAGAGAGAGAGAGAGAGAGAGAGAGAGAGAGAGAGAGAGAGAGAGAGAGAGAAGAGTAAGAGGAGAGAGAAGAGAGAGAGAGAGAGAGAGAGAGAGAGAGAGAGAGAGAGAGAGAGAGAGATGAGAGAGAGAGAGAGAGAGAGAGAGAGAGAGAGAGAGAGAGAGAGGAGTAGAGAGAGAGATGAGAGAGAGAACAGACAGACGAGAGACAGACAGGGAAACAAAAGAGAGAAGATGAGAAAGCAAGAAGGAGAAGAGGAGACAGACAGACAGACAGAAAGAGACAGCAGATTGATAGAAGAGAAAAAGCGGAAGGTGAAAGCAGAAGAAAGACAGAGGAGGGGGGGAGATCGAGAGAGAGGAAGCACAGAGAGAAGAGAACGAGAAAGACAGAAAGAAGCAAAACAAAAAGTGCACAGGGAGGGGGCCCGGCATAGCGACTAGCTTTGATTGTTCTGCAAATAAAATGAATAGGAAAGCAATGTAATCAATTTAATTATAAATCACCTAGGACAAGGCTTCGTAAACACACCTTGTAATGTTGTTTGATTAGAACTCTGGGCTGAACCCTGGCCTTTTTTTCGCAGTTTTATTATTTATTCATCATGTTTATTATTTACTTTCTTTTTACAGTTGCTACCTTACGCTCTCTCTCTCTGTCTGTCTCTCTCTATTTCTCTTCTCTCTCTCTCTCTTCCTCTCCGCCTATCCATCTACCCCATCCTCTCTCTGTATCTCTTTCTCTCTCTCTCTTTCTCTCTCTCTCTCTCCTCCTTCTCTCTCTCTCTCTCTCTCTTCTCTCTCTCTCTCTCTCTCTCTTCTCTCTCGTCTCTCTCTCTCTCTCTCTCTCTCTCTTTCTCTCTCCTCTCTCTCAACACACACGCACATACACACACACACATCCCTCTTTCCCATCCTACTTATGTAATTCCCTCCCCACATTCCTAATTCCTTCCCTCCTCTCTTTTGGTCATCCCCTATTTCGCTCTTTCCTTCCTTCCCTCTTCCTCTGATTCTTTCACCTCCCCTTTTTTTCTCTCCATCTCTTTCTTTCTCTCATTCCGTTCTCTCAAACATTTTTTTTTTTTTTTTAATAATGACCGAAATAAAACCTTTTCAGTCTGGTTTCGAATCTTTGACTTCCTCTAATGTCAATTATGTAATAATCATGAGATTTCGTCTCTTACTCTGCAATCAGCAAAACTAGCACTCAGAGTATCCAATTAATCGGCTTCCCTCTCCTCTCCTTCCCCTTCCCCTCCCTCTATTCTACCCCCCCCCTCCCTCCTCCCATTTCCCAAGGAACTTCTACCCCCCCCCCATGTGATTCTTTCCCCTCCTCCATTTCCTTATATGCTTCTCTTTCCTACCCCCCCCCCCACTTCTACCCCTCCCCCTCCCCCCCATGTGGTCCCCCTACTTTCCTATATGTTCTCTTCTCCCCTTCCCCTCCCCTAGGAACTTCTACCCTACCCCACCCCATTGATCCTTCCCTCATCCATATCCTTAATTCTTCCTCTCTCATCCCCTTCCCCTCCCCCTAGGAGCCTCCCCCCCTCATTTCCTTATATGTTATATTCTTCTCTTTCCTCCCCTTCCCCTCCCCCTAGGAGCTTCTCCCCCCTCCCCCGTGATCCTTCCACCCCCATCCCCGCCCCCCACCTCTTCCCCAGGCCTCACCTTCCCACTCCTCTGCACTTTATACAACCGCGTGATTATTGTATTACAAAGTGAAATCAAATACAGGTCCGTCCTACCGTCCTAAATCGCCCTAAAAATGCATTGTCGTGGTCGTGTGTGTGTGACTTTTTTTTTTTTTTTTTTTTTTTTTTTTGCAATATTTTTTGGGGCATGTAAATATGCTAAAACATTGTAATTAGGATCTGCCATGAATATGCATCAAATTTTACGCATTAGTTTGGTTTTGCATATGTTACAAGCTTGTGCCGCATTGGAATTACTTTTGTCTAATGATTTATCGGTGAAAATATGCATACGAATTTGTGAATTTGTATATTTGTGTATACGTGTCTACGTATACATACATATAATTGTGTGTATTTAGAAATATCTATCTATCTATCTATCTAACTATCTATCTATCTCTATCTATCTATCTATCTATCTATCTATCTAATCTAATCTATCTATCTATCTATCTATCATCTATCTATATATTATATATGTGTGTGTGTGTGTGTGTGTGTGTGTGTGTGTGTGTGTGTGTGTGTGTGTGTGTGGTGTGTGTGTGTGTGTGTTGTGTGTGTGTGTGTGTTTGTGTGTGTGTATGTGTGTGTATGGCATACATATGTGCGTATGTTCATCCATATGCATTTATATAGGCACGTATAGTATGCAATCACTTACATACAAAATCCCCCAATAATCGCCATCTAATACCTTTCGTTCCTTCTTTCCAGGGCGCTCAGAGGATTAGTCTCAGTTACACTCCAAATAAGCCAATGACGGTCAAACAAATACTTAGGTAAGTAAGAGCAACTTTGTAATTGGAATTTGTTTTTTTTTTTTCATTTGGTTCTTTGTTTTGTTTTGTTTTGGTTGTTTTGCTTTTTCTCTCTCTGTCTCTTTCCATTTCAATTCGTCTTTCATTCCTCAGTCAATGTTTGGGTGTAGTTGTAGTAGGATAAGGTGGAGAAGAGCAGAGACAGCAATAGTAGATGTAATAGCAATATTAGTAGTAACAGAAGTAATAGTAGCTGTATCAGCATCAGTAGTAGTAAAATACATGTAGTAGTAATAATAGTGGTAGCAGTAGTAATAGAAGTGGTGGTGCTAGTAGCAGTGTTAGTATCAGTGTTAGTTGTAGTAGTAGTAGCAGTAGCAGGAGCAGTAGAAGTAGTAGCAGAAGTAGTAGCAAATGTAGTTATAATAGTAGGAGTAGTGGTAGTTGTAGAAGTAGCAACAGTAGTAGTAGCAGCAGCAGCAATAGTAGTAGTAGCAGTAGCAATAGTAGAGGTGGTGGTAATATTAGTAGTAACAACAGTAGTAGCAGTAGTAGTAATAGTAGTAGTAGCAGCAGTAGTAGTGGTAGTAGTAACGGTAATAGTATCAACAGTAATAGTAGGAAAATTAGTAAAGTAGTAGCAGTATCAATAATAGAGATAGTGGGACTAATAGTAGTATAAGTAGTAGCAGTAATAGCAAAATGCTGGCACTAATAGTAGCATTAGTATTAAGAGTAGCAGTAGCAGTAGTACTTGTAGTAGTAGTAATAATAGTAGTAGCAGAAGAGGAATTGATAGTGGTAGTAGTAGTAGTAGTAAATGGAATAGTAGTATTTGTAGAAGAATTATTGGTAGTAGTACTAGGTAGTAGTAATAATAGTAATAGTAGTTGTATTATTAGAACTAGCAGTAGAAATTGTTGTTATATTAGCGGTAACAGCAGCAGCAGTTGTAGCAGAGGTAATATTTGGGGAGGGGGGGAGGTGGTAAGCAGGGTTATTATTATTATTGCATGTTTACATAAATGAGTCTTGTAATAAACATGTCTTGCTTTCATATTATATCCCTATCCCATTCTCTCTCTGTCTCTCTCTGTCTCTCTCTCTTCTCTCTCTGTCTCTGTCTCTGTCTGTCTCTGTCTCTCTGTCTCTCTCTCTGTCTCTGTCTCTGTCTCTCTCTCCTCTCTCTCTCTCTCTCTCTCTTCTCTCTCTCTCTCTCTCTCTCTCTCTCTCTCTCTCTCTCTCTCTCTTATATATATATATATATATATATATATATATATATATATATATATATGTCTGTTTGTCTGTCTGTCTATCTATATATCTATCTATCTTCTATTTATTCGTCTCTCTGTCTATCTATCTATCTATCTATTTCTCTCCCCCTCTCTCCCTCTCTCCTCTCTTCAATCTGTCAAACCACCTCTCTCATCTCTCTCTCCTCTCTCTCTCTCTCTCTCTTCTCTTCTCTCTCTCTCTCTCTCTCTCTTCTCTCTCTTCTCTCTCTCTTCTCTCTCTCTCTCTCTCTCTCTCTCTCTCTCTCTCTCTCTCTCTCTCTCTCTCTCTCTCTCTCTCTCTCTCTCTCTCTCTCTCTCTCTCTCTTCATCTCTCTCTCTCTCTCTCCTCTCTCTTCTCTCTCTCTTCTCTCTCTTCTCTCTCTCTCTCCTCTCTCTCTCTCTCTCTCTCTCTCTCTCTCTCTCTTCTCTCTCTCTCTCCTCTCTCTCTCTCTCTCTCTCTCTCTCTCTCTCTCTCTCTCTCTCTCTCTCTCTCTCTCTCGTCTCTCTCTCTCTCTTCTCTCTCTTCTCTCTCTCTCTCTCTCTCTCTCTTCTCTCTCTCTCTCTCTCTCTCTTCTCTCTCTCTCTCTCTCTCTCTCTCTCTCTCTCTCTCTCTCTCTCTCTCTCTCTCTCTCTCTCTCTTTCTCTCTGGCTCCATTACTTCTTTATCGTACAACTACTCTATTATAAATAAATCGCAATGCTCCAGGGCTTTGCTTGATTTCAGACAACAAAAGGAAAATATGTTAAATAGATAGATGAATAGATTAATAAGTAGAAGCAAAAGAAACTAGGAAAGATTACATAATTAATGAGCTAAAATAATGTACACCATCCTATATTCTCCGAATCAGATTAATGAAAATTAACTCAATTGTTCCTCAAAATTTTTAAGCCTAAATAAATGAAACAGCTTATTTGTTATCGTAGGTCTACCCCTTCCCCCTGCCCCCCCCCTCAAGAACCTCAAAAGAAAAAATATATATATAATTAGCAAACTTTTTCTTGCCTGAATTTCATTACGTAGCAAATGCTTTGTCTCAGCGCGGACGCCTAATACAATTTTCGGAAGGATCTTATTGTCGTGAAATTACGTAGCGAAGGTAGGCCTAAATGATCTGGAAACTCCAAAACAACGAGAGATTAGGAAAATAGAGACAGAATCTACACAAATTCCCAATCCAATCTTCTCCTTTCTTTCCAATAACAGCATGATTTTCAGCTATAAACCGATAGCTAAATGGCGTGCAGAGTGTAAAGGCATGTCCGAACATTTTCAAGGGATTCGGACGAGTTATCTGTCGACCAATCACGTTCTTAGTTTAGCAAGTACTTGGGACTCGCGGCGGTTGCCAGTTGCATCCGCCGCCAGTGACATGAAGGATTGACTTAGGGGTAGTTGTCTTTCATTATGATTCTATTACACACACATAACAGACACGCGCAACACGTGGTGTGTGGTGCTTTAAGAAAGTTTTTCCGACTAAATCTATATGATTGACATTTCTGTTTTATTCTGATGCGGTAATTATATGCATTTTTTGTCTTTTATCTCTCTATCCCCCCCCCCTCTCTCTCTCTCTCTCTCTCTCTCTCTCTCTCTCTCTCTCTCTCTCGCTCTCTCTCTCTATCTATCTATCTCTATCTCTTTCTCTCTCACTCTCTCCATTCATCTTTCTATCTATATATGAATCTATCTATCTATCTTTCCATCTTTCTATTTATCAATCTGTCTATCTAATTATCTTTTTGCATCCCTCTTCTCCTCATTCTCTCACTCAATCACTTCCAACCCATTCTCTCGAAGTCCTTCCTTTCTCTCCAAATCTTGCCTCCTTTTTTCGCTCTCTCTCTCTCGCCAGAATCACTCAGCGGATTCCCTCTGTAATTATCGTATGGCCCTAATTAGAGATAAACACACCAGGATGATTAGGATTAGCATTAATTAGGATGACGTAGAGAGTAATTAGAAGGATTCTGTTGAACCGTTTGAGCGTTGTCTGAGTGGTTTGTTGAAGGGCCGTTGATGCGTTTCGGTTTTGTCCCGTGTTCTTGTTCTTTCTTTCTGTCTGTTTATCTAGCTCTGTCTGCATTTGTTTGCTGTCTATATCTATTTATCTATCTATCTCTCTGTCTATCATCTCACTTTCTCTATCCCCCCTCACTGTCTCTTGCTCTCTCTCTTTCTTTTTTCTCTCTCTCTCTCTATCTCTTTCTCTATCTATGTATCTATCTATCTCTATCTCTCTCTCTCTCTAGCTCTATCTCTCTCTCATTTTTCTTTTTGCTTTCTCTCTCTGTTTATCCATGTGTCTCTCTATCGTTTGATCTCTCCTCCTTCCGTCTCTTCACGAAGCTTCCCCCTCTCTTTCTCCCTCCCCTACCCCCAGCTTCTCTCTCTCTCTCCCTCCCACCCCCACCCCAGCTCTCTCTCTCCATCCTTTCCCCCAGCCTACTCTCTCTCTCCCTTCCTCTCCCCCACCCAGCCTCTCTCTCACTCCTCCCTCCCCCACCCACCCCCCCACTCTCACTCCCTCCCCCCCACCCACTCTCTCACTCCCTCCCTCCTCTCTCTCTCTCCCCCCCCCCCCCCACTCTCTCTCCCTCCCTCCCCCACCCTCAGCCCTCTCTCTCTCCACC